TTCAGTTTTCCTATTCCGTGATTCCTCACCTTCAAATATCCTACCCACCTAACCCCATCTCACCCAGCTTCAAGATCACCTTCATCCTGCTCTTCCCTTTAGTTCTGCTCTCACTCTAGTCAAATCTCAAAAGCCAGATGATCTTGGTAACTGGCCAGCCTGGCAAACTACAGATCATCTCAAGAGCCCCTCCCCACACTGCCCTTACTGACACAGCAGAAGCCTGTCCCCTCCCTCTTCTGCCCTCGCCCACACTTGATCACTGGCCCAACTTCCAAAGGTGATAACCCTTCTCTGTACTCTGCAGGATTCCTTATCAGTAGAAGTCAAATAGCTCTGCTTAACCAAGCATTGGAGAGCCTAAGGTACTAGCCTGGAGTCTCGGAACTCTTTGCCCTTACTGTAATTGTTTGGGCTTCTTAAATTAGGTCCAAATAATACATGGAAACAAGTATTTTCTTTAGTGTATCAATCATTTGGGTCAATGATTCAGAAATGTTCTAGTCCAGAATTGCCATACAATTCTGTCACTTATTCTTTATTTACATTGCAAAAGTACTTTTACAATTAAATGTAGAAGCTGGTAACTAGTCTTGTTTTAATTTTATATGCTTAAGTCTCAATCAGAAATTGGAATCATCTATATTTATTCACTGCACATTCTCAATGATTTCCACGGCAAAAAAACCATTGCAGGAGGCTAAGCCACCTAAACAGGTCTTCTTAGAGGGAAATCATCACTTCCTGATGCAAATGTTCGTATTTTATTTACTTAGAAACAAGCCATTGCATTGCCCAGGATCCGTCTTTTTAATTGATCAGTGTTTCCTGTGGCGCACAGAGGTAGGTTTAGCATCCTTCTTGACCCAATGCTTCCAAAACACCAGTAGGACTCCATAAGTATCAGCCTGACACAAGAGCCCAACCCCCATCTGCCTGTCCCTGCTTAAGTGCAGGTTTTGTTTTCAGGGACCCAGTGCCTGCAAAGCAGAGTAGTTGCCAGTAGATGGCACTAGTGCTTTGCCAAGAGTCCTTACAGTCTAGGGCCCAGTCGCTGTTGCACACCTAAATGCACCAGATTCTTAACCACCCACAGCTGCTGTTGACTGACCTTCTCAGTCTAACTGGTGGAAGCTTATGTCTGCCCCTTGGATGTGAGTGATGTAAATCCAAGGAAGAAAATTCAGGGGCACATTTCTACCTCACCTTGTTACCAAAGTGCATTTAGTCCTTAGATGTCTGGAGTGTCAGGTTTCCCTGAAGTGTGCTTTTCCCTGTTACTCCAGGGAGATGCTTTCCCTAATTCTCATTTCTTTTTCCCCCTGACAACTTCTTTTTCAGAGTCTTGGTTTCATCATTGATAATGTAGAAACAGCCAACAGGGTTGTTTTAGGGTGAGAAGTGATTTATTCAAAATATTACATAACATAAATTGACTCCTAAAGTATTTTAAGAGCATCGTTGCCAGATTTTGCTATATAGGCACTGTGTGTCTCATTGAAACTTATTCGTTCCACTTACAGTTCCACTTATGGATTGACGTCTCGAGCTGAGGAGGAGGTTAGCAGCAGAGGGCAGCTGCTCTGCTGTCGCCCTTTCCTGCGGACAGGGCTTCCTCCCTATAGAGGTCTACATGTGCACCCTGTGTCTGGGACAGTTTAACAAGCCTGCTGCCTTTGTATCTGTTAATTAAACTGAAAAGTTCCGCCATTGACTTCTCAAAACCCTGTTCTTTCCCATTTCTTCACTTGAATCCAGCAGTAAATAGTCCACCTGTGATCATAAAAAGCTCTCATTTTGGTCCCGTTCCCCCTTGAAGGGCTCAACTTTTCAAGCTTTTTGCCCTCTAGGTGAAACTCTGACAGTTTGTCCCTTAGGTAGAACATATCAGTGCCTGTGGTGCTACTATTTATTATTTTCTTTTTTTTTAAGTTTTACTTATGCATATAAAAACTGGGGTACAGGCCGGAGGTGTGGGGGATGGTGAGAGGGTTCACCAGAGACATACCAGGAGCAGAACAAGCCGACTGATGAAGTACACTGCTGAGGGGAGCAGCGGGTGCGTCAGGAAAGGTCTGCTGCGCCCTGCCGGTCACGTCCCTGGCCGAGGATCGAACTCCTGCTGCAGTGGCTGCGGAGAGCTTCATAGTGTTGTGCTTTAACCAGTTGCACCACCAGGCAGGGCCTCTATTTATTACTTTCTATAGTGAGTTTAAATTTGGCATATAAAACTATTTCTCCCTCCTTTATTCTACATATAGTGTTTTGCTTTAACCATATTGTTATTGGTTTACACATTCTCTGTCAACTCCCTTAACTATATACTTTAAAAAAAACTGAGTGCTAAGCACATAGTAGACACTCAAGTGTTTGTTAGGTTTGCTCCGTGCCAGCTTGCTACTGAAGTCCTGTTCCATAGGAGAGAAGACAGTGGAGCAGCTTGGCATCGCTGTGCCCTCTGTCGCCAGAGGGCTTCCTAGGTCCAGATCTCATTCCTCAGCTGGAACTATAAGTACCTAGGAATAAATGTAATTGATTGTAAATTCCAAGGATAATGTTTCCATTTCATGTACCTCAGTCTCCTTTATTCTCTAGCAACACTGTAATCAAGGTCCAGGCGCCTATTTAACCTAACAATTATCACTCCTTACCTAAGTAACGTGTAACTTGACCTTGTAAGACAGCTGAACTTGAAGGTGGCAGTGAATCTGGCCACCAGCTGTGTGGACTTGCCTGCTGTCTTGGTCCTGCAAATAGCAGCTGGTTTGGGAGCAGCTTCCCTTTCTTTCCTGGATAGCTCTGGAACTGCCTGGTCTTTCACCAATCAGGATCCCTGTTGTATGCAGAATATACTTGCACTTTTCCTCCCAGATCATAGCTCTCACATTACCCTGAGTGGTTTTGGAGGTGTGGGCTGTTTTGGTGTTCCTGTGGCGTCCTTGCTGAGCTCATCTCACCTTCCTAATACTGCTTCAAGCTATAAACAGGAAATTGAAAAGAATGACATACAGTTCAGTGTATGTGAAAATTGTTGGGATGTGGGGAAAGATCTAAAATATTATAGTTAATACAAATGGACCAAAGTGATAAATAAGATTTCTGTAAGTATTTCTTTGAACATGGGTGATTAAGAATTACTGCAGCATGAAAAGAACATCAACAGAAAATGTTTGGTTTAAACTATACAAATTTAAAATTTTCAGTGTGTTGAAAATCAAGATAATTAGGCTAAAAAATATATATGGCAGGCACAGCTCTGAAAAATTAAGTACACTAATATAAAAGCCACATTCATTATTAATAATACTAATTTTTTAAATATTATAACATGCTGGGCACCCTCCTGGGGCCCAATGCAGTATTTTAATCCTCATAATTTTTTTCAGAGACATGCTAGTGTTTTCATTCCATTTACCAGGTGAGGAGACAGAGACGTGGGTGCTCACACAGCTGTGGGTGGCTGGTGGCCCTTTTCACCCCAGGGTCATGGCTCCAGCGTCCATGCTCATAACCCCGATCCTGGGTTGCTTTAAGTAGGCGAAGACCAAGAAGGAAGTATTTAAAAAGAAGAAATCTCAGTTTCTTACTAATAATACAAATCAAATTTTAAATCAAAATGAAATCGTATTTCCTCTTATGAATAAATTGGCGAGAATAGGACGTTTTCGTGGACTGGTGGCGTCTCAACAGGGTGCGATAGGGTGCGTGGAGATGTGTCCTCTTCCACGTATTTAGCCACAAGTTCCTACTGGCCAGAGACTTGGCGGGTTGGGAACCACTGTTGGTGGGAGGGGAGGTGGCTGGCGGCTGCCCTGTCTGGGGCAGTAGGGAAATGCCATTACATCTGGCCACTCTTCAGGGACACTCTGGAAAAGGCGCGGCGCGCCTGGAGTCAGGTTTTGAGTTTGTAGGCGTCCACTTGGTCACGTTGCTGCTCTCCTAAAGCCTCACGTCCTGGGGTTTGGGCCGCAACGATTGGACATCTGCATGTGGGGAGAGCACGTTAGCCGAGGTCCAGGGCTTTCTCGAAGCAGCCCCTCCTTGTAGAGACCACGGGGCGGCTCCGCTGGTGTGCATTTAGTCTAGGCGCCATGGGATGAAGTCTGAATTTCATAAAACTGCGCTCAGTAGCCCTTAACTATTGACAAATGATTTTTGACATTTAGTTTGGTAGAAGATACAGTGAATATAGGTCTATTTCCTTTATTCAAACTCAGTAAATGGTTTGGGACAATTAATTTCCAATTGTTTCCCAGTAGAGCAGATTTACTTGTATATTAATGAGGCACAGGTGTTAGGCCCCTGGTGTCTGCGTGCCTGGGAGGCATATTTCAGTTGTTTATCTGCTCAGCCATAGGTACTGCAAGGTACTCAAGCTTGCCTTTAACAGTTTTTACAGTGAAGCTTTTTAATTTTTTGATGCTTTTTTCAAATTTGCCTGCACCTGTTAAAATTTTAAAACTGATCATGTGGAAAGAAGTTGTAGAGATTTCAATAGTAAATAGCACTAAAAGTTAAAGAAAGTAGTCTTCTATTATATTTAACTGCCCGACTTGACATTAAAGAGAAATGGGTTCATTTAAACAGATAATAAATGTGCAAAGCCAATATAATCACCAGTACACTTTTGTTTTGTATTTATTGAAGCAGGTGTATCTATGTCAATGGTGAAAACAGTCCTTTACTCATATTAATATTCATTTTTTTCTTGTTTATTCACTGAACGGCACTACCAACATTTTAGAGGAAATGGAATAGCCTCCATAGACATTATGAATTTCAGTAGCTGGCAGAATTATAGCGATCTACATATTCATAAAATCTACAGAAGAACTCTGTCCAAAAAGACAGCCATGCATTGAGAAACAGTACACAACTAAATATATATGTTTTAAAAGTTGCGTTTCTTAGACTTCTTTAAAATTAATTTCCTGTAGCACTTCTCTCCAAGCAGAAGAATTTTAACAAAAGGATCCCATGCTTTGGTTTCTTGCTTGTAGGAAAGAATGGGAAGAACTCTTTGTAAACAACAATTACTTGGCAACAATAAAGCAGAAGGGGATTAATGGGCAGCTGAGAAGCAGCAGGTTCCGCAGCATTTGCTGGAAGGTAAGAAGAAAATATTTATTTACAGTTTGTGCTTGCAGTATATCAACACATTACCTGATGCCCTGGAAGATTACCCGTGCAGGGATCACTGCATTTTCCAGGACACTTCACTCTCAGATTTTTGGCCATCCATGTTTATCTTTCAAAGGATGTTTCCTAGAAAGGTCGAACTAGCTCAGTCCTGAATAACCGGTGATGCTGAAGGAGTCATTTGAAAAACTGTCTTCATCTCATTTGTTGGTGCAGAAATCAAGCAACATTTTTCCACTCCCCTGAGGCTTTTGCAGAAATCCCTGAAGCTGGGAAGGAGCAGAGGGGGATTAGCTGGCAGGTTTTTATTATATCAAGTGCCATCATTTAGTCATCCTTCCTTTTCTCTTCACAAATTGCAAATGGAAATGGGGTTTCATTTTCTTTTCCTAGAAAGGAAATAAAGGGCATGAAGAAACAGAAATGGAAGGAAATTGGGTCAGCCTCCTTGGGGGAAGAAGGGCCTTTGGTGACCAAAATTACAGCAAGAATCTGCAGTTACCTTTTTGGTGCCCGGAAATTTTGTCCCTGTTTGTTCTCTCAGCGAATTAATTCAGGTTTAGACTCATTTTTAAAATTACTTCCATCAAAAGTTTTGAGGGTTTATCTGCATCAATTGAGTCTCAGGAATCTGAGCAAGTAAAGACAGAACACATGATATATTAGACAGTTTCAGATTTAATAATTTAGATTTAATAATTAAAATACATTTTTCTTTTGTGAGATGCAGGCAGTAAAGACAGGAACCTGCTGCTAGAATATTTGTATGTGAATCTATGTACTCTACCCCCCCCATTCCTTGTTTAACTTTTAGTACCCTTCATTTGCTAAAAATAAGCTCAAATCCAGATTTATTTTAATGTTGTATTAAACTAAATTAAATCAAATTTGTCTTTTTAAGAATGCTTGTTATTTTCATAAGTTGATTGCCAATTGTAAATTACATTTTCTGTTATAAAGGGAATGACTTCACTTCTCAGGCTGTGTCCTTGAATTGTTCCTCTCTGTCCTTTTAACTGTTTTAAGACAAATATTAGCCTTGAAATTACCAATTGGACTGTATATATCTATATGAGAATATAAAATGGGAATTGAACCCATTTTATATTTTTCTTACTCATTTTTTAATGTAATTCTGGCGGGAAGTTGATGTTATAGTGTAGTTTTTGGGTTCTTATTTTTGGGCCTTTGTTCACCTTTTGAATTAATCAAATTATGTATTTCTCAAATATCCCCATGTATAATTTATTGAGAATTGGACTGATGCTGTGAAGATAAAATAGCGTAAATATGAATTTCTCCTTTAATTTTCAGGTTATTCTGTTTGGTACAGTTTCACATTTGGCTTCTGATTTTCACAAGCTTCTATTTTTCTTTCCTTGACAGCTATTTCTTTGTGTTCTTCCTCAAGATAAAACTCAATGGATAAGCAGAATTAAAGAATTAAGAGCTTGGTATAGCAACATTAAAGAAATAGTAAGTTGTTATTTAATTATGATTTTTTTTTTAGGGATGTTTTTAAGTCCAGTAACCTCTGATCTTAGTGTGTGTGTGTGTTTTCTTTTAATAGAACATCACAAACCCACGGAAGGTTGTTGGCCAGCAAGATTTGATGATCAATAATCCCCTTTCACAGGATGAAGGGGTAAAATTCACCTTTATTCATATTTCAACATTTTTTATCCACAAGAATGTACTTTGGACGGGTATCAGAATGAACACAAGACTGTTTCATACCAACTTTTTTTCTTACCCCCACGTACTATAACACCTAAACCAAATGGAAAGTCTTCCATGCTATATATACCCTATGTGGTAGGAATTTTATGATCTGTTTATGTGGAATGCCACTTTAGTCCCAGGGATCTGTAAGAACTAAGGGCAATATGGACGAGCTTCAAGACAAGGATGGAATTGTTTTTATTAAGGATGCCTTGGGGAGGCTGTGGAAAGCCCCCACTTAAGATAGAAACAAGGGTTTGTTTAATACATCACTTCCCTGCAAAAATGTAGCTATTTCTTTTGAGTCTATAAAGAAGATTTTAAAAATCAGGTAAAAGATCAGGTCAAATGCCTCTCATATGCCAGTGAAAACTAGGAATGATTGCTATTGTAGAAATGTAGAATAGAATCTTCTGCAATTGCTGTATAATTCCAATTTCATGCTAGCACAATTTTTTCCTAGTTACTATGTTTCCAGATAAATACAGCTATTATTTTCTGTGGTAGAAAGCTTAAAAGATTAAGTATTTTGTAAAACTTTAATTCACATTTTAAAAAATATATTAAAAATGTATTTTTTTAAAAAAAAATCAAAGCTTGGTAGAAATTACTACCTTTATTTCTTTAGGGTGTTGGCAATTCAGGGCAGCTTCATGTGGGGCCAGCTGGTCCCACTCTAAGCTAAGCGGACCTTTTGTTGTCGTAGGTGCGGTCACAGGTGTATGGCAAAGTATCATTGACTTTCTATAGATAGTGAAAATTATTTTTAAATAATTGCAGTAACACCACTAGAAAAATTGATTTTGAAACAGGAAGCCCCTCTGAAATTGAGCTAGATTTGGTAAAGTTCCAACCTGAGGTTTTCTGCCATGTGAAATGATAGCAGTAGAAGAATAAATTCAGTTATTTAAATTAATTTGTTGCTTTGAGGTTATAAAAGTCAAGCAAAGCTGTGAGAATATTTTATAGACTGTGTTCTCCTTATTTCAGAGTCTTTGGAACAAATTCTTCCAAGATAAAGAACTGCGATCAATGATTGAGCAAGATGTCAAAAGAACGTATGTGGAACTATTTACAAGTTGCTCTCTGTAATTCAAATTGGTGTGACCATTTTATAATTTACAAAAATACAGAAACCATAAAGGAGGCTTACCTGCATATACTATTCTGTTTGTGCTAACATCAAAGTTATTGCTTTGGCCAGATTTTGAAAATAATGATTATTTTGCATTTTTTAAATTTTTAAGATTTTTGAGATCTCTGTGTTCCTTTTTCAAAATAATTATAATAACATTAATATTAAAATAATATTTAATAAGTTTTTCCAACAGTTATTTGAATTATATGCTCCTTATTGAAGTTATATTATGTCATCATAAGATTAGTATTGCAAGAAAGGTTAATATCTTTATACATTTGGATCGGATCCTTTTCTAACCATATTTTTTTTACATTATAAATATTTTACTTACCTTCCTATTTCTCTTCAAGACATTTAAGTTGGAAAAAAAAAAAACCCTTTGATCTCAATCTATTTAGTATTTGCCACATGAAAGAGTATTTCACACTTAACATATAGTTTATATCCATATCCTAACACTCAGTCTCATCTTTCTGGACATAAGAAGCACACAGATTTTGTGTGAGATGAGCCTCAGGTTAACTTCTAGTTAAAATATGCTTGTAATATTGGTCAAATTACTTTCAATGAACATCTCTCCTGCCAGTTACCTTTTCTTTAAAAAATGGCTAATAGAAACCACTTTACAGAACTGTTATACAATAGATTCATGAGTATATAACAAGTTAGGTGTGTTTATGCTTTAAGCTATCAGGAGTTATACAACTGTTAATCTTTATACTCTAGGATGAAATAGATGCATCAAAGGTCATGAGTATCTCTGGTGCCTTCCTACAAGCCCTTCATAGCTTTGCCTTTCTTCCTCTCTCTTGCTAGATCATATTGCCATGTCAAGGCCTCTAGCTCTCAGACATTCACTTTTTTTCAGGACTTGAACACCAAACAGAGATGCGTGGCCGTTAACAGTAGGTGGACTCTTTCACCCACATACCCTTCCCCCCACACCTCAGGTCTATACTGCAATTCTTGTATGCACAAATAAATAAATCTTAAAACTATGCAGTTTTCTAGTTTAAAATGGAAGTAATTCAGAGGAATCATGGGTTCCCAAAACATCAAAACCATAAATAACTGGCATTGGCAACAGGTTGGCATGTGGAAGCACAGGGTCAGTTTGATGAGCTTGAGTCCACCAGTTAATCCAGGAGTAAGAAATTGCAGGAAGATACTCTTGGGTGGTAGTCCCGATCCTTTCTAATTAGGTAGTTTCAGAAAGTGAATGCCACCGTATTGGTATACGGTAGGCACTCTGTAAATACTTGTTGAATAAAGGCATGAACGGAGTTCCTCATCAATCACTTAAGCAATTAGTAATCTGGAGCAAAACAGACCTCATAAAAGCCAAACACTCAGCATATATTGCTAATCAAGTAATAAAGTAACCCTTTTAAAAAATGTCTAGGCAGTTATCTTAGAAAAATGGGCAGCTTTGACTTGATCTGGCTGGCAAGCATTTAAGTCAGTCTCCCACTGTTACCGAATGGAAGCAAGGCACCATGGCTCTGGGCAGTCACACGCAGAGGCCACTCTCAAGCCAGAGCATTAAGGAGTAACAAGAGGAGAAACTCCAGTAGTGAGCCAAGCAGGAAGTGGTATTGACAATCTGTTCATCATTTTGGTTACCTAGATCAGGTATTTCTGCTTTGCTGTGTAAGAAAGTTTGCTTTCTTGTATTAAAATCTATGTTCTCTTAACTATTTGGTGTTAAATTTCTTATATATTTTTTCTTGTAAAGTGTGCGTATGATTGTATATATATCATATATCATGCGGCTTTATTTTTCTGCTTGTAATTTGTCTCCTCTAGCACACTTTTATTTAGCAAACCCAGGAGCAGGAAGGCAGCTCAGAGGCCCATAGTATAGGCGGGAGTGCTGTGGACCTCTTCCCAAGAAGCCTCTTCCGTTCCTCCCTCCATGTCTTAGAATAAGTCTCATGCCGTCTCTGTATAAGAACAACAAAAAGCTTATAAAGTAAGACTGTCATCCCTACTTTAAAGGCCCCAAATTGCCTAATCATAAAAGCTGAATAGCTGAATAATTTTACAGCTAGGTATACAGTGTTTTTATAAGGCACTTTATGATTTAAAATCCATGATTTTCAATCCTGTCTGTGAAGCAGCTCAGAAAACAATAGGGGATGAAAGAAAGAAGTAAACACCAGTCTGTGTTATAATATTTCTTACTCACTAGCATCTTTGATAAGAAGTTTTGACATGCATTTATTGAATGGCTTCTATATTCCCATCCTATTCTTTGCACTTGGGGAGCAGAAGGTGAATAAGGCAGTCAAGGTCCTGCTATCATAGGATGTATGTTTTGATGTTGCATGGGAGGTGGATTGTGAGCGTATACACCTGTGTAGGTAAAGAGAATGGTAGAGGGTGACAGTTACTCTGAAGAGAAAAGGCAGGGTAATAGGTTAATGAGAAAAATGGCCAGCTGCCTCAGAACTAGTATTCAGAAAAGTCATCCCTGAGAAGATGATACTTGACTGAGATACAAAAAATGACATAGAGCCAACCATGTGAGGATCTCAGGGAAGATCATTGCAGGCAGAGGAAACAGCTGGTATAAAACTCCTCAGTAAAAATGAGCTCAGTATTTAGAGGAGCAAAAGGGAGACAAGTGACATTAGGTTTAGAAATCCCAGGGCAGGGCAAATGTCAGGTAAGCTGTCTTGTAAACCACAGGGAAGAGTTTGTCTTTCGTTCTCATTGTGTTGGGAAGCCGTTAGAGGACATCAAGCAGGGAGTGACATCTCAGAAGATAATTCTGATACCTGTGCAGCAGGGTGGAGGTGGAGGTAATCAAAGCAGTTAGAAGTGCACTGCAGTGTTCTTTGGTATGAACTTCACTTTTGCCAAGCAAATTTTTAATTTTTTGTAGTATTTGTGTGTAATTGGATTGGATTCCATTTGTCGTTATTTGTATTCCTAAGATGAGTGGAAACATCCAGTATGTCTTTCACTTTTTGAATGATTCATTCAACACTGTCACCTCAAGATCCTAAAGGTCTCTTAGTGTCCTGTGTCCCTGTCTACCCCCTCCCAATAGGGGGGAAAGGATGCAAGAGGAAGTGCTGGGTTTTGTTCAGCTTTTTATCGGTTCTTAGGATGAACTGGTGACTTCCCAGCTTCACCTATGCAGAACCAGAAACCTGAAGTTTCTCCCCAGTGCTCTGGCTTTATTCCCTGAACCGGTTTTGTGATCACCCTGTCCCATGGCCTGCATTACTTGAACTCTCCTCTACTGGAATGCTGTTTCTTCCCACCACTTCCTGTTGGATTCCTGAGTCATCCTTCAAGGCCTGAGTTCTTCATGAAATTCTGTTCATGAAACATTTTCCAGTTTTTACAATTGGAAGTGATATATGCCTATTCTTTGTTCTATTAGAATTTTCTAAATAACTTTAGGTAATATTATTTAATTTTGTTTGGTCTTATATTTTTTAGACCTCCCAGTGCAAGAGTGCATAATCTTCTAGTGGTTAAGTAATTTATATTAATTTCATCAGGGTTCCAGACACTGTGGATGCCAAGATAATTATGGCAAGGACTATTAAGAAGCCCAAAGCCCAATACAGAAAGCAACCAAAAGTTTGTCACAGTGCGGCATAACTGGAACCACAATAGACACCATAAGTTAGTGTTAGAGCATCAGGCTCCAGTGTTGGCCCAAATCTCACCTTTCAAACTTTATCATAAGCTCCTGGAGGGCAGGGATCTAATCTTGTCTCTGTCTCACTGTATAGCGTCAATGTGTGGCTTAATAATTAATCATTGATTGTGAATCTTATCACTAATGATCAGTGTTGTTCCATTTTAGTAATAGCAAGCTCTAACATTGTCTTCAAAATTTAAAAATACTGTTATCAACCTCCCAGACTGAGTTTAAACAAGATAATTTCATTTCTTAAGCTGCGTTGTTACCATGATTATTGAATTTGAGCTGAGTGTGTCACTGTATTAAATATTATCTCCTCTTTCAACTAATTTTAATATTCTTTCACTCTGTGAACCTTTTTGCCTCAAAGGGTTTTATATTCATTTCAATTAATTGTTTCTTATCTCAGCCTAATGAGGTTGTTACTGTTCTCATTTTTATTGCTGAAAAAAACTGATAATCACAAGGTAAGTCAAGGGCCTTCCAATTTATAGCATTTTAAGTCAGGGCTTGAAATGTCCATTCTAACCAACTGTGCCATGCTTTTAAGACTAACATCAAAGGAAATTCATATTACTTTAATTGATGGGGAAATATTGTATTAGAATAAAATCATTTCCATATTAGACACCAAAGAAGTCTGGTCTATTTGAAAAGTATATTTCTAGGATCAATGATATCAATGGCAAATTAACTTATTTATAAGCTCTTGCCAAATAGTCTCTTCTCTCTCCTGATGCATACTCACCCTTTTGAATTTAATGATTAAAATTCTTGAACTTACTTTTATCATTGTAACTTTGGCCATCTATAAAATTTTATCTGACCGTTTTTTGAGTAAGCTACTCATCACTTTCAATTTTGTATCTTTTATGTTTCTGGCTACTATCGGGCTACTTAGCACTTCAGACAGCCTATTCATCACTTGATGAGTCTATTGAATCCTATTTGAATCTCCATGATGTGGTTATATCTTTAAAGTTGCAACCTTTTCACTTTAATGCTTCCCCTTTTAATAGTTCCTCATTTAGGAAACTAATAATCTAGACATTGTGTAAGTGACTTTGTCTCCTCAGTTTGTCATCTGATATTTTATGGTCACTAATAATTGCTTAAACTTCTTAAAACTATATTGTGTAGTGCCCACCAGGGACTGTTGCCATTTAAATGTATATTAAGTTTAAAAGTTAAGATGTCATTCACAGTTGCCACTTGGCAACTGTGCTGTTGACTGTTGCATGGGACATTGTAGA